GTGTAACGATCGCTCACGCCTTCCGATTCCAAAGTATCGAAAATCTTAGATCAACTTAATTAAACGATGGCAAACTGCGGTGATATAATCCTTATATAATTCTTAATTCATTCTTCGTCTGTAAGTGCGGCAAATGACATTTCGATATTTCCACTATGTAAACTACATCGTTACTTTGCACGAACAAATAATTCTCGTCGATTAATTATTCCCTTGATAATTGAAATTAATTATTTTAGACGAAACCAACAGGTGTGCCAGCAACTGCAGATGACAAGAAACGATGAAAATTTACATATCGATGGAAAGACCTGTACGAGGAATATTATATATAGCCGGAGCAAAGTTTATTAATTCAGCTCGATAAATCGTCGACGTGCTACGACTTTATATCGTCCTCCCTTCGATCACGTCTGTTCTTCAAATTTGTCAAAGAAATAAAAAGAAAAAGAAGAAGAGGAAAAAGAAAATCCATTCTCGTTTCAATAAATTTTAGGACATGGCCGGAATTAAAGCCAGATAACTTAAGCTAGGAAAACGGCACAGGCTGTGGGGTTAAATTAGTGGCGGAGAAATTCAACGGGTGACAGTTTCTCAGATAAGGGATTCCCCGTCGGGCATATAACCGGTCATAATACGCGAAATAGGGCAAGTATGCCTGGATAAACTGATTATCTGCACACACGGTCGCCATCTTTTGTCCGCATGCTCGAAAAACGCACGCTCCTCCGATGGCTTATCGAGAAACGTGGCTTGGGAAGCTTACGTTCCCTGAAGAAAGCCTGGAAAGTAGAATTTCTGGTTGCTCGATCAAATTCCATTAACCTTCGTTACTTCGTCGATCGGATATCGCCCTCTGACAGAAGAATTTCTATAATTACGGAAATTATTATAATATTTCTATAAAGCGAAATTAAAGTCCGTGCAGTTAATCCGAAGCATCGACTTGTCATTCGCAATGGTAATAATCTTTTTATTCATGAATTTTTCATCCGTCATTTCATTTTTGTGCAAGTAGGTTGCATGATATTTCCGCATCTGACAGACCAATTCGATCGACTACGCTTTCTACAAGATCGTCGATTTCGTATTCGATTTCAAACACGTAATTAGTATTCAACGTTTGGAAAAAGAAATCTTATTTTCGTAAATTCATTTGTCGGAAGGAAATGCCAGAGATAATTGAATATCAATTTAAAACGATATTTATGCTTTTCTTCTGATTAGTTTAATTTATAGAGCCGATGAACGCACGACTTACGCGTTTATACTCGCAACGCAAAGTTCCGAAACGAAATAAGCTAGCGAAATGATGAACGAGATAGCTGTCAAGACAATTAACAAATAACAGCTATTATTATATCGTTAAAGCACTCTTCTTTTCAGTTTAAAAGCGAAATGGAAATAACGAATGAAAGGTTATACGTATACGATAACAGCAGTCAAGGGGTTAACGATGAAATTATACTATTGCGAAAAGAATTTCTCGCCGCAAAGGTGAAAAGATTGCGAGTCAAAAATCGTAGGTGGCAGGTTGCGGATGAAACGTACGATTGAAATTTTATCAAGCTTCTTGATCTTGATGTGCTTTTAGATCGATCGGCTGCCAGTAAATAGAAACTACACGTAACATTTCATCGAGATAAACCGTAACAATAGCATTTCTTTCTCGCGACTCGAGTTGCTCTTACGAGCAAATAAGAAATAAAGAAGAAAACAGAGATAATGCAGCTTTTAGCCTCTATGCCTTTGATGGATAGCGTACTATTTGTCACGTCGCGATGTTTCCGCGTTGCATTTCGACAGAATTGCAGGAAGATCGATTGGAATAGTAAATGTATCAGGTGACAATACGCAAAGCCGAATTCTCCAGAGGATTTCGTACTATCTCAGCGAATATAAAGGGCGAGTCTGAGAAAATGTACATCGACTTTACGTCAGTAGTTCTCGCTATTCTTATAGACGTGCAACAGGTTCAATGCATTTCTCTCTTCGCACTCAGCTTTTTCTACGTTTTGTCGATACTGGATTTTATTTAAAAACGACACATTTCTCTTCCATCGGATAGTTCGATGTCATTCCAATCGCAGATATGGGGAAAAATGGATAAACAAAAATTCGATGGGTGAAAAACGTGTTTCAACGTGAATTAGGTTGGGAGAATCCTTTTTTAATTCTTCTCGCCGCCGTATGCTATACAATCTCGTGCTCGCTTGACTTTTTCCTTCAGCCGTATCGCACTTACGGAATCCGAGTATTTCAATGGAAACGCTTCCCCTAATCCGACCGTACTTACCTTACGCCCATTTCGCAATAAATGTTTCACGCCAGAAAGGGAATTTTATTGAAATCCAAAAGAATCCTGCTTTTGTCACGAATGCTACAACTGAATAAAAACGAAATGGCAACTAAAGACGGACGGCGACGACGACGACGACGACGACGACGACGACGATGACGACGACGACGAC